CTACCCAGGGCTACAGCCTGAGGCTCTGTCTCAAAAAAAATCACTGATCTATATCCAGACATTGTGACGGGCGCCTGTAGTTCCAGCTACTAGGGAGGCGGAGGCAAGAGAATTGCCTAAGCCCAAGAGCTGGAGGTTGCTTTGAGTTGTGACGCCACAGCACTCTACCACAGGCAAAAAAGTGAGACTTGTCTCTAAAAAGAAAGAAAGAAAGAAAAAAAGAAAAAAAGAAAGAAAGAAAGAAAGAAAGAAAAGATAATCACTGATCTAGATGGTATGTTAGTTAGGTGCAATATGGCATCTCTATCACTATATAGAAGAGAAACCTAGAAACAATTGAAAAATCCTTTTATTGATCTAACATGCCAAGTCCACTTTTTGCTTAATTAAAAACACAAATATTCTATACAACTGGGGTTTTTTTTGTTTTTTTTTTTTTGGTTTTTTAGACAGAGTCTCACTACATGACCCTGGGTTGAGTGCCGTAGCAGTCACAGCTCACAGCAACATCAAATTCTTGGGCTTAAGTGATTCTCTTGCCTCAGCCTCCCAAGTAGCTGGGACTACAACATGCCTACCACAACACCTGGCTATTTTTTTGTTGTAGTTGTCATTGTTTTTTAGCAGGCCCAGGCCAAGTTGTAACCCACCTGCCCCGGTGTATGTGGTTGGCTCCCTAACCACTGAGCTACGGGCATCCAACACATCTGCTTTTATTTTTCATAACCTTGTTAACAGCTGCTGATAAAATAGGCATTCTGACAGTTTCCTTAACACAGTTATGAAAACCAGACTATCCCTGGTAAATTTGTAAATGGGATAATAGGATCTCAGCCCTGTAGGTTACAGCTGACAGTAAATATACAGTGAAGTGAATGTACTCAAATGTTCCATGGTTACTGGAACATTTAATTTAGAACAATACTGTGTGTAGCCTACTTCATAACCATATCTATATCATTAATTCTGGAGTAAGTAAAAATAAGCATATTTTTCCTAACACTGTTATCCAAAAAAAAAAAAAAAAAAAAGTAACACCTCTGAAAGCCAACAGAGTGTGTAAAAGTTAAATCAACAAACAATTGTCATAAATGAAGCGTGCTGTCCATATAAACATAAAACATTTACAGACATAAAATACTCCCAGGTACAAGGAATAAACCCAAGATTTTTTGAGAGTTGATTCTGTAGGGAATTAAGTTATATATTCTAAAATTAACTCTTCTTAAAGCAGTGGTTCTCAACCTGTGGGTCGTGACCCACAGGAACTGTATTAAAGGGCCGCAGCATTAGGAAGGTTGAGAACCACTGAGTTAAAGCATCTGAAAAATAAACTCAAATGAAATTAATGTCTGCCATGACGGACAAACATCAAAATTAAAGTTGTTAAAAATGACCATAAAACTCTTGTTTTTTCAGGAAGTAAAACACATGAGGAGCAAAAATAAATCTAGATTGATTTTCCTTGTAAGAAAACATGATATTATCAATGGCTTTTAATATGGCACATCAATCAAATGGCTATCTTTCATTTCAAGTTCCTCAAATTAAGTATTAACTGGGATTTAATTTCTGCTGCCTAAATTAGTAACCAGTATTATGGAAAAAACTGTAAGTCCCAAAAGACTGACATCAACCATAAATATGACCCCAGTTAGCTCCTCAAGGTATGGCCATACAACATGACCCTAAAAAAACTAAAAAGCACTTTATATAGTGATATGGAACAAATTCTCAAAAATTTTAAATGAACAAAAAGGTACACTATACCATTTGTGTAAACAAAAAACAAAATTACATGGATATGAGTTTATAGATGCCCAGAATATCTGGAAGGATACTTAAGAAAATGAAAATACCAGCTGCCTTTGGAAGGAAAGAGGGAAGAGGGAAAATGAAGGAAAAGAAATAACAGACACCCTGGTGGTGCCCAAAGTTCAGTCAGCAGGTGCTGGACACATCCACTGAGGGTGGCGAGTTTGAACCCGGTCTGGGCCAGCTAAAAAACAATGACAAATGCAACAAAAAAAATAGGCAGGTGTTGTGG